GACTCACTTATTGAAATTAAATGTTTATATAGTGTCCATAAATCTGGGAAATCATTAAGTGAAGCCGTCGCAACAAGAAATACTTGCTTAGAATGTGTAAATGGAGAGTTAAGGCTTAAAAAAAACCACAATTATTATTACCAATTAAGTATTTTCTTTAAATAAATCAGATAGTAAAGTGTTGTTACTTTGTTATTAATCTTGATATTAAAACTCTGTAATATCATGGTTATTCGAAGTGATCGCTTTTTCAACTATCTTGTAGTTTCTATAATAAATTTTTTATCATTATAGATCCAAGGGCAACTAAACATTTGCAAGAGGCAATGGTGTTATTTTATTATTTATATTAATGATAAAGAACCATTGTTTGTTGAAATGATTGAAAAGGATGAAGATTTATGGAATGAAAAAATTTTACCAAAATTAACATCATTTTATAAAGATTATATGCTTCCAGAGTTTGTAGAACCGACAATGAAGTAGACGAGATTTTTTTAATTTTTTGAGTAATCGGTTGCGATTGTATCGGAAAATATTATGCCTGAACTTTTAGTATGCAATTGTTATTATCACACGCGGATGTGTTCTGATTCTGGTCACCATCAAAAAATTTTAATTATCTTGCTCTGGTAGGATTTAATATCTTATTCGAAAAGATTAATTGTCCAAAACCATTATTTTCAGAATATTGTAGTTGGATCATGTCAAACGGAAAAATAGTAACATATTTAATTATTACATTTCTTGGGCAAACGACCTAGAAATTGAGTTTCTGTGCCAGGTAAGGAAAATTTCTTCTTGCAAATTGATTAGTTACTGTATATCGATGATTAGTTCTAGCTTTTCTTCTGCCATGGGACTCAAAGTATCGGTGACGTATGTTTATGTTGTTGAATAATAAAAATTAATTGTTATCATTAACTGTTATACACTGATAAAAATGCTATAGTAGACGCCACGAGAGCTGGCAGTAAATCATCGTTTTCCGCTCTTACAAATGCCATACGTAGTTCACAAACCGCTAGAGAGTAATGTGTGTTAGAAAGAGATAGTATTAGTTTAATATGTCTGCTGTACAATTCAAATAGCCACGTCGAAAAAGTACGTCTGTTCTTCTAAGGGATGTGCCTTTACAATTATAACCTCAAATCGAAATGTCTTGTGAGCGTTGTCATGAATCTGTTAGTGTTTTCACAAGCCGAAAATGTTTTCTTTGAAAGGAAAATCATTAAATAATATCTTTGACAATGTTTGACATATAACCTCCATTACTAACATAACCTACATTTAAATGTATGTAGTGAAATAATCTAAGTCGTACGTCCATATCTTGATTCATACCATTTTTAAGCGATCTGTCACTGCCAGCTCTCGTGGTTTCTACTATAGTAACATTCGTTATAGGATGTGTTAAGAAATACTGTAAAATTTCGTAAAACTATATTTTCTGCACTGTGTATATTTTTCAATAGAATAGTGTAATCACAGCTTCTTATTGTAAAATTAGATAATGTTTTCACACTTTGATGTGATCTTAAGTTGAATATGGAATTTTAGATGATATATTGTGATGGTGATGGACTATTTATACTTGATACTAAAACTTTATTATCTGTCTTCAACTTAAAAATTTCTTTCTAATCTATTTCAAGCCTATTTCATCTTCAGTGAAAATGTTTCGAAAAAGTGTTACTAAGCTATAATTTATATATAAATAACATTTTCCTTGGACAGGTTGAACATCCGTCTCCTTGACAAAAAAATATAAAATAAAGTTAATTTAACACCAATATTATTGACTTTTTTTATTCAATATTTAATATTATTTACAATATTATTAAATTAAAAATTTAGGTTTATTTAAAAAAATTTTAAGGTCTAATCTAATTATTAATTTAAATTAACGCGAGTATATAGCATTTACATCACTTTCTTTCTCCGTATTAATTTTCATTTATTTTCAAATAACATATATCTTGTATTAACTTAGTTTCACAGATTTTCACAATTAACAAATAAAATGGAATATAAACGTTATAACAGTTCTTTTCTTTAACCTTTTCTTATTATTCCTTCTTATTATCAGTTATTTTATTGGTATTACAATTGAAGTTAAGAAAAAACCATTTTAAAAAGTACCCTCTATGAGACGATTGCCAAAGTTTTAAAATGTCTTAATTTACCGATTTTAGGTAGATTCCTTTACACAATCTAGTGTATATTGAGGAAAACGCACATTTTCACTTGGTGCAGCTTCCCGCGATAATGTCAACTTTTCTGCGCTTGTACTAGCGTGAAATGTATTCCTATAATATATGTGCAAAAAATGACACCTTTGTTCTCCTCTTTAAGTGTATACTTTTCACATAAATCGCATTATATGAATTCATTTTTATGGCAAAGTTTAGTAATTTTTTATGATTAACAGTCTAATTATTTTACAACAAAAAATACGTCATTTTGTACAGAAATATGTTAACAACAATCCTATGTATTTAGTTTTGAATAAAGATGTGAGAGAAAGCCGCGAAGCTGCACCGAGTGAACCCCTGTCGGCTCATATAAAAATCGCCATTGAACGGCGGCCTTAATGGAATTGACCAATCAGGAGACACTATTTTTCAATTTCAACACTAAACAAACGAAAATTAAAAATTTTAGTGTGATTTTGAACTTGAGAGAACCATAGAAAATAGCTTCGGAGAAATGCAACTCTCTAAACAAAAACTTCGTAAATGGAACGCATGTGGCGCCATCTGTTGGGGATATTTTGGAATTATTCAGCTAAGAACCGAACCACTAGAATACAGGTTGGGTTTATATATAAAAGCTCCAACCACAGAATAACTGTTTGGAGCCACTTAACGTTCCGACTGGTTGAAAATTCCTCAGATGCAATTACCTATGGCAATTACACTTGTCAAATAATGCCACCACCTGGCCACCACATTTGAATATTACTGCATCATATTATGACATGTGAGATTGCATCTGACGAGCTTCCAACCAGTTATAACGAACGTTAGCTGAAACTGAGCTGAAACAAAGCTATAATGTCAATTATAATCTAATTGTTTAATCATACCATTATTATTTTATTATACTCTTACCGAAAAATCACTTTAAAATGACGTTTTCATCTGTCATTCTGAACAAACTTCAACTTATAAAAGGTGAAGTTAGCGGCAAATTTAAAAATATAACACGATTTGAAATCTATACTTTTTAAATTAAAAGAATGATACTGGTAATAATTATTATTGCTGTCTCTCATCATTCCTACTATTAATAATAAAATTGTTAGTTTAATTAAATTATTTATTCTTTATTACAAAGATCCCTGGGGCTGGTTTGAAAGGTTATGTCCAAACATCCATAGACAAAAATTGTCACATTGACAGCTAGAAAAATTAATGACCCAATGTCACCAACTTGAACTGGTTCCATGAAGTGTTACTAAAATCTCAATAAGACGCTATCCTTACAGCATCGGATGCTGTAAGGAGTCTCATTACAGCACCCGTTTGAGTACTCTAATAGCTTTAATATTTTCCGTGGTAGTAATGCTAGCGATTGTAAATGCCGCCGAATTTCCTGCAATTTTTGTAATGCAGAACGATTCGACAACGTTTCTATTCCCTCATCATCTCGTTCGCAAGTCTCTTTATACAGGACTGTAGCGACAATTTCATCATCCGTTAAAAATTCCGAAGTTGCCACATTTTCATTACAGTTTACGTAGTCTTGGGTATGATTCATTTCGGAGGTCCAATACAACCTTTACAAATAAACTATATAAGTGTCATGTCGTCTTCTTCATTAAAAATCTTCATTGTTGACAGAGAATCCGGTTTTTTTGAAGCAATTTTTAATCGTGGACTCGGTGATCTTTTCCCACGCTTTATGAATAAAATTGATATCGTCAAGCAATGTCACTTTAATAGAAGAATTAGCGTCTATTCCTTGCACACTTTTCAATAAAAGAGAATGAATTATCCCTTGGTCCTTGGCTGAAGTTTCTTCAAAAACAATGAAGGGAGTTTGGGATAGCGAAGATGTCATTGCGTGAAGCTTACCCTTGATGAGCTGATTGAAATCCATCAATAAAATGAAAATGAAGAAAATAATGTTTTCTAGCACAACTGGGAAAAGCCCTAACCATTGCAAAATTGACAGAAGCACTTAATTCCATACAGAAGAGCGCGTAATGACAGTTAAAAAGAATATACAACAATCGATTGAATGTTATCAAGAAATTTTGAGGCAAAAGAAAAAGAATTTATGCCGCCAAACAACCACCTCCGATTTTCTGAAACCATCAAATTTAAATGGTTAAATCAAGGTACATACACTGTGTTAATTAATTATCGTAACATGCGTGACCTGTGTAATATTGGCTGTATATCTCAATATGTGGTGGTAGCTTGGATAATTTTGAATTAGTAACTATATGTTGACAGTTGATCGAACGTCATTGTTGTGATTGTTGTACACTCTGTGAGTTTCCGTATTTTCTTTATTATTTAACCGTTTGTTTGCTGCCTTTATATTTTTCGAATCAGTTCTTTGTAGAACTATCGTTGTTTCTAGCGTATATTTTAAACGACTTTTAAAATTAATGAATTGCCGCCATCGTTTTTAAGAATTTTCGTCGCGTTGCAATACCAATCTGTAATATTAGTTGCATACTTTGTCGAGTACGATAATTAATTAACACACTGTATATTGTAAAACAGTTATTAATAATTTTAAAGTTTCATAGGGTTTAATATATACGTTTGAATAGACGTGTTTTCAACTCGACTTACGTAATTTTCTATTACGTATCTTCGTGGTATTACAGTATTTGCGAAAAATTAGATTTATTAAATAAATAAAATATAGGCAACACGTTCAACACAGCTGCGAATGAGGTTGCCTACAATTTTATTTATTTATTAAATTGTTAAATAATTTTATTTATTTTCGATTTTAATAATAAATAAAATGATTCAAAAAAGATTCTTAATTATTTATTTTGATTATATACACCATACATATATTTTAATCGTAATGATACCAAATCACACAAAGAAAATAAATTTTTATAGTTATTATACCACCTATTCACTTCCTTGAATAGAATTAAATATTTGTACAAAAATAAATAGATCAGTCCCTTAAAATTAACACAATAAAAAAAAATAAAACGAAACGAAACAGTACAAAAATAAACTAATTACTCACTATCAGCCTATTAAAAAAGAAACATCAAACTAATATTTACAATGGTTAAAACTTAAATATAAAAACAATTAAAATAAAAACTAACAGCCGTATGAATACTAAAACAAACTACGCATAGGACTGCAATTCTTTTTGAGAGTATTTTACGTGAAGTGGAGATTTTAGGAATGTGTCTTGACTTTAAAAACAAATTAGTATTACTTTATCTAAACAGCAATCGATTGGTGAAGTATATCGGCTATTTTTAGTACCGTTTGTCCGCCCAATATCGATCTGTGGTTACCTTCTAATGGTAAAACTGATACTTTTTGTTTGCACACCTATAAAAATTAAAAAAACAATTAATGGATTCAATAAAAATCAATTAATTAATCACTTACCGCACTTAAACCATAATCATCCCCCATTTGTACATAATTATCAATCGCCCTCACTAAAGTAACGTCACCTTGAAATTGTTTCGTTGGTTTATATTTATCGGCCGCCACCAATTTAAAATAAAAACTAGCCGCTGCTGCCGCTAATTGTTCGCTTGGGAAAGGAGTTGATCCGGAGAGGATTTGGGTTGCCCTCGCTAAACGTTCTTCCCAAGTTTTTAGGGATAACATCTCAGACACAGTCTGTTTGGAAAAAAAAATTAATTAATATGAATCAAATTTCAAACGTTCTTATTATTACCTTTTGTTGATCAATCTCTTTAAATTGGAGAATAAAATAGACTAAAGCTTCACTTTGTTCCGCACTAGCTTCTCCGCGAATTAACTTTTGAGTTCTAGCTTTTCCGGTATGCGTAGCTACATAAGCTGGCGATCCATCTAATAACATTAATTTAACTTTCTCCCCATTCTCTTCGAGTTGAACCCCCATTTCAAAAGCTACGCAAGCCCCGAAAGAATAACCAATTAACGTGTAAGGTCCTTTTGGTTGCACAGTTTTGATTTCGTCTATATAAAAACCAGCTAATTCCCCGATTGTGTTTAGCGGTGTTGATTTAGTGCATTGTAACCCATACACGGGTGCTTGAATTTGCTTCGCTAATTCGTTTAAAGCGTTAACAACCCCTTCGATTGGATGTAAAACGAAAACTGGGGTCATTTTGTTATCGGTGTTTTTACTCGACATTTTTATCAATGATTTGCTTGGCATAATTTCTGTGATTGAATCGTATTGTAATTGATCGTTGGATGTCGATTTTTCTGATGATTCAGAAACGACGATTTCGCCCGAAGATAAATCGACCAATTTCCCGAAAGTTAAAGCTCTAATTTCTTGTGCGCTTAAAACCAAATCGTAATTTCTCTCCAAAGTTTGTTTTATTTCCGAACCCATTAACGAATCCATCCCTAAATCGGCGAGGGATGAGTTTAATGGAAGATTTTTGGTGTCTTTAATCCCCAAAATGTTAGCAACCGCATCAACTAAGCTTATTTCGCTTCCACTTCCGGATGATTTTCGTTTTTCTGCCAAAACCATGCTTGCAACGACCGCGTTGGGTTGTTGTAAAAACACATCCATTGTTTGAAGACAAGATGACATTCTTTGTGGGAGAGTTCCCCCTACTTCGGTGTCGTTTCCTCCCATTGTTTCGAGGATAAGTCCAACATCACCAATAGCACCCCATTGAATAGCTAAAGCTGGAAGTCCGCAATTATGTCGATTTTCGCAGATTCTTTCCATAACTGAATTTGCAAGTCCGTAATTTGCTTGCCCCGCGTTTCCTCTTCCGCAAGAAACCGATGAGAAACACACGAAATAATCTAATTCTGGGGCTAAAGTCCTCGATACGATATCAAGATATTTAGTGCCGTCCACTTTTGGTTTTGTAACCGTTTTGAAATCGGCTTCCGTTTGGTTCTCCATCATTGCATCTCGAAGTACCGCGGCTAAGTTAAAAATGCCTCCAATCGGTCCTAAAGAAGAAGCTTCCCCAAGAAGTTTATTCGCGCCTTGTTCAGTTGTTGCATCAGCCGTTGATATTAAAACGTTCACTCCAAGATCTTTCCACCTTCTTATACACAAACTTTGATAACCCGTCTTAATCCCGCTTCTTGATGTTAAAACAATTTTAGTTGCGCCACGAAGAATTAACCAATTAGCTAATTCCAATCCGAAACCTCCCAAACCACCGACTAATAAATAACTTTTATCTGGATGCATGTAAGTTTTTGGGATAGCAGTAACTAATTTTTGTTTCGGTTGTTGTGGTCCGCGATTTTCTTCGTCTCTTATCTTCAAGATAACTTTTCCAATATGTTTTCCCGATGCCATAAATCTGAACGCTTGCTCAACTTGGTTTTCTGCATAAACTGTACTTGGAAGCGGTTGGACAGCCCCATTCGAAATCCCTTCAGTAACTAATCTCATCACTTCTTTCTTTTCTGGGGTGTTCGAATCGAATAAAGCATCCAATAAGATTCCATGGAACGTTGTATTTTTAAGGAAAATACTCATCCCTAACGGCGAATTATTCGATAAATCGACTTTTCCAATTTCTAAAAATCTCCCACCGATAGCCAAACAACGAACTGAAGCTTCCAATTGCTCCGCAGCTAACGAATTTAAAACCAAATCAACTCCTCGCCCATTCGTTTCGGTCATAATTAATTGCTCAAAACTGGTATCGCGGGAATTACCAATTTGATCGTCTGTGAGTTGAGGGAACGTTTTCTTTAAGAAATCGCGTTTACTTTGACTTCCAACAGTTGTAAAAACTTTACAACCCATATGCAAAGCGATTGAAATCGAAGCTTGTCCAACACCTCCACTTCCAGCGTGGATTAAAACCGATTCTCCTTTTTTCATCCCACCACGTACCACCAAAGCGTAATAACTAGTTCCATAAACAACCGGAATAGTCGCGGCTTCCTCCAAACTCCACTTTTCAGGTACTTCCCATAAAAAGTGAGGATCCGCCAAAACCGACGTCGCTAAACTTCGCGCAGAAACCATCCCCATAACACGTTTTCCTTCGGAATTTCGCCCAGAAAATTCTAAACCTAAAATGCAATCTTGTCCTGCTAAATCTCCGGGAAGCGCGTCAGGTGGGAGTTTTCCAGTTGCTAGCATGATGTCTCGGAAATTTAATGGGGCGTAATAAACAGAACATAACTCAACGTTGGGATTATCGTCTTTGTAATAAGCAAGGGGGCCTTCAATCCATCTTAAACTTGATAAATCACCTCGAATCATTGTGTTAATATAGGCGTGTTCAACTTGTAATTTTCCAGCATCGTTGATTTGATCGATTGAGAGATGTCTAAACGATCCCCAAGTTTTATTTTTAAGAACATTATGAATTAAGTCTTTTTGTAATTGCGAAATATATTTAGGAGATGTTGGCGAAAATGGTTCAATTTTATCTTGGATAAATACTGAACGAACGTGTACACCACCTGGTTCTTGTTTAACACAATTCATCATTCCAATTAACCCGTTAAGTTCCTCACCTTCGTTTATTAAATAAATACGTTTTCCTGATGATTCAGAATCTTTTAAAGCTTCTTTCAGTGGTTCAACATAATCAAAATTGTTTTCGCTTACTTTAATGATTGTGTATTCTTCGGGTATTTCAACACATTTTCTTAATAAAGTGTATAATTTTGAAGCAATTTTTTGTTGAGATACAACAACTAAATTCTTTTGGGATATATTTTTATTGATTTCATTTGCGCCTTCGATCATGATAAATCCGCCTGATTTTAACGAATTTATAGCGTTATCTAAAATTGATTGATTTTCATTGATGAGAATATCAGGGAGAATCACCAAATGAGCGTTTTGTTCGATTGCTGATGATGTTAAATCTTTTTGGACGATTTTGATTCCTTTTGAGTCAAAAGTAGAGGTGTCTACACCTCCTGAAGTGATAATTGTCATATCTACTGATAACATTGGTTCTGATTCGAGGATATCTAATAATTTAGGGGTTAAAAATGTTTCTGTGGTTTTTGCATAACCAACTTCGGCGATTTTAAGTTTTAAAGCCCCCGCGCTGTTTTCGTTAACTATTTGCATTAAAATTTCTAAAGCTTGTTGATTAGCTTTGTCATAAGTAAAAGCTGATACGGTTTGTTCATATGGAACGAATTGATAACGTTCTAATTTGGGTGGTGATTGACTTTGTTGTCTCCTAGGGGCTAAACTTGCTTTCATGCCTCTTAATTCAACGCCGGGAATTTGGATAATTCCGATATTTCGGTACATATTCACAGGGATGTCTTTTTGTTCGTCGTTTAAGTAATCATAGAGAGCTTTTGGGTTGATTACAGCTTTGTGGAGTCTTGTTGGTAAATATAATTCTTTCGTGTTTTGTCCCAAAATTGAAAATTGCAACATGGTGTCCATTAAACTAATCCAATTTTCGCTCCATTTTAATTTCCCGTTTAATCCTTTGTTGTCGGATTCGGTGATTCCTTTAAAAAGACCTTCGTAATCGTATCCCCTCAATCTTAATTCTTTGTAAATATCAGCGGTTGTTAAATTTAATAAATCGTTATCTGTAGATGTTTTTGGGGATAAATTTAAAGTTTCTTTTTCGATGTTTTCTGGTTTAAATATTTTCCCGGAAACTGCAACTGAGCCTCCTTCGCATATTTCAAATTCTCCCGATCCTTCGAATATGTTTATTAAGAATTTTACTGAGCCTTCTTTTGGCATTATCGTCGCTCTTTGGAATTGAATGTCTTTTAATATAACTGGGAATTTTTCGAAATCTGCGTTGTGGAGTTTTGCGAAAGTTTTCCAAACTAATGTCTGAAATTAAATAAAATTATTAAAAATTTATTTATCAAAACATTTTTAATTTTTACCAAATAACCCGTTGCGGGGAATAAAATTCTTCCATCTATAGCATGCCCCGATAAATATTGATACTCTTCTTTGCTTAAATCAACGTCTACAATTAATTCGCCTGATTTTGAACCTTTTCCAGAAAAGTTTGCAACGGCCCATTCAGTCGAATGATCCCATTTGATCATTGATGAAAGCATTGGAGTTCCTTTTCCAACTGGAAAATGTACCGTGTGGTATAAATTTCCTAATTTAGGTTGACCACCAGCCATATAAATTCTAGAATTTAAAATAATTTTTATTAATTAAGTTTAAAAATTAAATATTGGAACATAAAGTATTAATAGTTAAGATATGACTGTGGTATCTTGGCAACTTGACAGATTAACTGTCAAAATTTCAAAAAACGTCAATGTAATTTAATTTTTTTAGGACTTTTTAAAAATTTGACATTAAAAAAACGTAACAAATTCCTTGTGATTCATAATTTCGTATGTTTTAAGCATAAATTAATTAATTTTCGTAAAAAAAAATGACGTTTCATAAAATTGACATTTAATTTTGACAAATGGTTGTGAAGTTAGTTACAGTTGGTAACATTGAATTTGTGTCACATTGACGTTTAAACTTTATTCCAAAAATTATTTAAAAAAATTAATTTATGGAATAATTGCGATAGTAGTCGTGGACAAAGTATAGTATTCTACTCACATATAATGAGCTATTATTCACTCAGGTTAATTATGCCACCCGCTACGCTTCTAACACAAACTTAACCTTAGGGAATAATAATGTACTATTAATGGGATAATTTGTACATGTAGTGTGCACAGAATGTGTGTTTTTCTCCATAATTGAATGTGTTTTAATAATGTGCGTAGTAACGCGAATACCAGGATGTGTTAAGTTGTGAAATTTGTTGATAATTGTTTTACGAAATTTTTGTGGTATGTATGTTCGAGGATTATTTGTTGAAAGGTCGCACCAAAGATTTACATCTGAATGTGATGTTGTTTGTTGCGATAGGTTTTATTTAGTAGTGTTTGAGTATTGTTTGTTTAGTAAATGTGTTAATTCTGTATCATTAAATTGTGCGTTTTTTAAAGTTTGTGTGTCACGGTACTGCGAATTTAGAGAATCAATATTTGTTCTGGACAAGGTGTCCGCTACAATGTTTGATTCTCCTTTAATCGTATCTGACGTAGAGTTTTTCCACGTTAGTTTTCTGGTCAGTGTAAACCACAAATTGATGTCCATGCAAAATTGTTTAAAGAATTTAAATTGCTATCAATTCTCCATCAAAAGTTGAATAATTTATTTGGCTTGAAGATAATGCTAAAGATTATGTTTTATTGTCTATAGTCTGTGATAAAACTGCTCCCATGCCTTTACTTGAAGCGTTTGTCGCCAGTGAAAGAGCAGCTTGTGATGATGGGTTAAAGTGATGGATTTTGATAAAAGTTCCTTGGCTGTAGTGAAAGAAATATCGTGATGATGTGTCCAGGAAGCGATTGATTTAATTTTTTGTGAATAAAGTGTTTTTGATAAATGATGTAAGGAGCTAAAATCTTTGAGATGTTTAGCAAAAATCTGTGATTTTTATCATTTCCTAAGAATCGCTGTAATTGTTTAAGTGTGGTTGGTTTTGGAAATTCGGTTATGGCATTAACCTTAGATTAATGGTAGATCAATGTAAAATATCAAAGTATCGGGTTAGCCGTGCGTTTTCAGAGCGTATATACCTTTAAAGTGAGTCCAAAGTTGACGCATTTATCTCAAAAAATCAAAAACTTCGATCTTTCAACTATTAATTTTGACATATTTGTCAACTTCATAAAAAATCCTTTAAAATGAGTCTAAACTCGACACATTTAGCTTTAATATTAATGGAAATACAATCACTTCCGGTTTGAAACGTCAACGTCAATTTTGACATATTTGTCATCTTCATTAAAAAAACTTTAAAATGAGTCCAAAGATGACGCACTTATCTCAAAAAACAAAAAAATTAGAATAAATAACATTAAACCCGAAGTTAGCAACAATGAAGATAGCAATTTAATTTTGAAATATTAATACCAACCTTAATTTTAGATTTTGTTTTTGTGACAAATATTAAGACATTTTATAAAAATTAAGAATATGTCAAAATGACATTGACATTTCAAACCTGAAGTTGCGTATATCTCAAGTAATATTGAAATTAAACGTATCGTGTTTGGACTTATTTTAAAGGATTTTTCATGACGATTACAAATATGTCAAAATTGACGTTGACATTCTTAACCGGAAGTTGACCATAACTTCATTAATATTGAAGATAAATATGTCGTGTTTGTACTCGTTTTAAAGGATTTTTAATGAAGAATACAAATATGTCAAAATTGAGGTGGACATTTTAAACCTGAAGTTAGTTATCATATAGTAGACAAACGGACAACTTCATGGTGTTCTTTCATTATGCATTGCTTATTAAAAAAACCTTTAAAATGAGTCCAAAGATGACGCACTTATCTCAAAAAACAAAAAAAGATAGAATAAAAAACATTAAACCCGAAGTTAGCAACAATGAAGATAGCAATTTAATTTTGAAATATTAATATCAACCTTAATTTTAGATTTTTTTATTACATTTTTGTTTTTGTGACAAATATTAAGACATTGTATAAAAATTTAGAATATGTCAAAATGACATTGACATTTCAAACCGGAACTTGCGTATATCTCAAGTAATATTGGAATTAAACGTATCATGTTTGGGCTCATTTTAAAGGATTTTTCACGACGATTACAAATATGTCAAAATTGACATAGACATTCTTAACCGGAAGTTGACCATAACTTCATTAATATTGAAGATAAATATATCGTGCTTGTACTCATTTTAAAGGATTTTTAATGAAATTTACAAATATGTCAAAATTGAGGTTGACATTTTATAACTGAAGTTAATCTAGTGTTAGTCACTTTTCAGCACTTTCTTTTTATTTACCGAAAAATCAGCTCCAGTGTCAATTAAAAAATTTAGGTTATTTTCATTAAGGTTGATTTTTAGTCAAAATTGTGGAGAAGTTTTGAACTTTACATAATAGCAGAAAAAATATAACGAGTTTCTTAAAAGTGTTAAAACATAATCTAACTTACCTCCCAAGATTTGATAACAAATATTGAACATTATTAGAATGTCCTCTTTTGACCAATCCAATATTAGTAGAATCTCCACCTAAAGCTCTTTTCAAAATAGCTTGTAATAAAGCATGTGGGGCAATCTCAACAACAATAGCATCTTTAGGAATATGTTGAATAGCTTCGTGGAATAAAACCGGCGAAAGAAGATTATTAACATGATAAGCAGCCGAACTCATTTGTGCCAACGGCGATCCCCATTGCGCCTCAGGAATTGATGATGAAATCCATTTAAATGATCTCGGTTTTGGATTTGGTATTATTTCATCTAAAGCTTTGCGCAGTTTTGGGCCAGCTTCGGCGATGTACTTGCTATGAAAAGCTGTTCCAGAACTATTAACAACTTTAGCGAATATTCCTTCAGCTTGAAGTTGTTCGGTGAATTTCTTTAAAGATTCGGGTGGTCCGGAAACTGTTACGCTATCTTCGCTGTTATGGCAAGCGGGGAAAATATCGTTTGGGCAACGTTTTTTGCATTCTTCCCATGATAATCCAACGGCGGCCATTGCGCCAGGATTTAAGTTACTTTCCATGATGGCTTTTCCTCTTGAATAAGCGGCTAATATTGCTTGTTCTGCTGTTAAAGTTCCATCGGCGTAAGCACAACCAATTTCACCTACAGAATGGCCAACGATACCATCAGGAGTTAAACCAATTGTTGTTAAAATATCGGTTAAAGCCACTTGTACGGCAGCGATTGATATGAATGAATTTAAGACGTTATCGAATGTGGCATCAGTGCCGTTAATAAGCAAATCTTCTAAGTTAATTCCTTTTGGTTTAAGAGCATCAGAACATTTTTTGATGGAGTTCTTAAATATTTCAATTTCGATTAATTGTTTTGCCATTTGCGGCCATTGGGATCCCATCCCGGAAAAGACGTACCAAAGGGGTCTTTTATCACCTTGTAATTGCGATATTTCTTTTGTAATTTCGTCCCCTAAGACAGCATAACCTCTATAGGAGTGACCGGGAATGTTTAAGGAATGTACTTGATCGATTAACGATAAAAATTCTTCGTCTTGTTTATGGGTGACGATTTGATCCAAAAATTCGTTTACCCCATCTTCAGTTCGACCGGAAATTCCAATTACTCGCGGTAAAGGTCCCATGGGCCATGTCGTTTTTGGTTTTGGATTGGATCTCAAAACGATGTGGGCGTTTGCACCGCCAAAACCGAATGAGTTAATTGCCATTATTCCACCGTTCCATGGTTCGGGTTTTGTTACGACCTAAATGTAATCAAATAATTAATTTGGTTTATATGATAAAATTATTTTGATTTTTACCTTTAACCTTCCATCGTTTAAAGCTGGAATATCAGGATTGGGGCTTTTAAAATGCAAATTTCCGGGGATAAAACCCGATTCCATTGCGATAACAACTTTTGCCATGGAACATAATCCGGAAGCTGGTTCAGAATGGCCCATATTACTTTTAACCGATCCAATAAGTAAAGATCCTTTGCGATTTTTACAAAAAAGTTCTGCAATTGAGTTTACTTCTTGTGGATCGCCTACTTTTGTACCAGTACCATGGGCTTCAACGTAAGATACTTCGTAAGGGCTCACCCCAGCTTCGGCATAAACCTCTTTCATTAATTTATTTTGCATATTCCCCGATGGGTAAGTTATCCCTTGTTCTTTATTCCCATCTGTATTAGTTTTAGCCCCTAAAACTGTTGCATAAACTCTTCTTGAATTACTAGCTTTTTGCAAAAAGACGACAACGGCAGCTTCCGACCGAACGTACCCATTACCACTTTCATCGAAAGCTTTACACATCCCTTGTGGGCTTAACATCCCAAGGCGGTGAAATTGCAAAGAAGATGTTGGTTTTAAAAGAAGATTAACCCCGCCGACTATAGCCGAATCGCATTGACCCGTTTTTATGGCTGTTATGGCTTGTTGAAAAGCGAATAAACTACTTGAGCAAGCAGTATCAATGGCGTAACTTGGGCCGTTAAAATCAAATGTGTATGAGATTCTATTTGGGAACATAGCTCTACAACAACCGGTTAAACCATATCCATTAATTTTATCGGGATCGTACGTCCAATACTCAGACGATTCACTGTCAGATACTCCAATAAACACCCCAGTTTTTGATCCTTTTAATTCTGCGGGGCTCATACCAGCATCAACGATAGCTTCGTGTGTTAACTCCAATAATAATCTTAATTGGGGATCCATAACATGGGCTTGTTTGGCGTGAACACCAAAAAACGTCGCGTCGAAATGAGAGATGTCTTTTAATTTCCCGGTACGCGTCGGCAAACCATACAAACCGGAAGGCCATCGTCTTTCGTCGTCTGTCACCAAATCGATCCCGTCGAAAAGTTGTTGTCTAAATTCCTCCATGTTATTACTCTCGGGAAAACGACCCGAAATCCCGGTAATAACGACATCGTCGATGAGTTCGTGCACTTGGCCGTTTTGTTGCATATCTGGTGCTCTGGCGGGCATTTTGCGTCTTTTTGTATATCTGAAATCAAAAAACATTTTGTTGAAGGCGATGAGATTAGGTTGAGACGCGTTCGAGAAACGATGCGAACCGAGACTGGAGGATGTACTTATGTTTTACGAGAAGAAAAAGCAACAATGAGATCTTCCAATTGAAGGTACAATGGTAGGTACAATTGGCTTTTGTTGAATAATTACGTTAATTTTACGTCTGGTGTTGAGGAATGAACCAACTATGTGTTGTATTAAATGTTTAAAATTTCTTAATTAATGTTTATTAAAACTAAAATAAGAAAAATATGTTTTTTACATGGTTTTATCGTAATTTATCTTCTTGCAATATATAAAAAGAATAAAATTAATTAAAAACATGCTTTATTTTAACTTTATCGTTAATTGGAAATATTTCCAAGTTATTAATAATCGAAGTTACTAATAATAAACGTTATATTTATATAAACGTCGAAATTATGTTGATTGTGAGAAAAAAAAAACTGGTATAATTGAAAGTCGTCTACTAATAATTATACCGTATCGATCAATTTATTTACACCAATTTGTAACCAATGAATCACCATGAAAAAACTCGTGCACCTACTTGAATTGATCGGCAAACGCACACGATAATTAAATTCAATTATTATAATTTAACGTAATTTCTGTTTTTGTACGTTAACAAAAATCTCGAAACTAAAATCGATTTAAGATATACAGAATGTTTGAAGTTGTTCATTAACTTATCAACATTTATTTAAAATAGAACAACAATTTTTTTATTCACCATCGATTTGACGTTTTTTGAAACTGTGGTTAAAGAAAACAATTTTTCTCGAAAACTGGTAGGAATTAGAAAATTGAAATATTTTGAGGTTATAAAGGAAAGTTTAAGGTTAAGTTGTACCAAATTATAAGCTTCCAGTTTCTTTTATATACAATATTAAATATCACCGATTCAATTTAACGTTTCTTGAATATGAGATTAAATATTAAAATTGTTTTTTTTAAACTTTTAGGAAATAAGAAATGAAACTTTTTGACGTTATAAAGGAATGTTTGAGGTTGGGTTAAGTGTTACCAACCTTGGAAAAATTTTCCCAAATTTGACGATAAACATTTAATATAAGGAATAGTTGAAAAGTTGACAAAAATTGGATTTATTTTGAGGAATTTTTAAGTTTTATTATGTGATGAGCATTTTTTGACTACAAACGTTATTGTCGTGATCAGAAAATCAATCTGCTGAGTTAGCTGTCATTTGTCAATTCTCAACTGTCAAAAATCTAAATGTCTGATTTGAATTAATGAATGATATTTGGAAACCAATGACCCAGTAGACAAGAAAAAAAGCACAGGTAATTGCGTTCAATTCTAATAATAATATTCTAAATTATGAATTGCAGCTATTATTTGTTATAATATAAAAGCACCTAACGTCCTAACCTAACTTATAACATGGTCAGTGATTGAGAAGTTGAAGCTCATCAAATAGCACAAAAGAAGAAAGGACCGGGCAAATAATATTATAAATATCAATTAATATGGGAAAAACAGGAACCATTTAAATTATGGGTCAAATCCAACCGCCTCAGTGATAACCATTTCTATTGTACCTTGTGTGGAAATAATTATGTATACGGAAAGTGAGCTATTAAAGCATCAGAACACAACCCAACCCAACTTGGGTTGTACCAAATTATAAGCTTCCATAATGACCGGTTTATTTTATATAAAATTTTAAATTTGACCGATTTAATTTGACGTTTGTTGAAATTGGAATACTCTGTGATTGGAATGAAAGAAAAAAATTGTTTTATCTAAAACGGTTAAGAATTAAGCAATGAAATTTTTTGAGGTTATAAAGGAACGTTTGACGTTGGGTTATACCAAATTATAAGCTTCCAGTATGATCGGTTTATTTTATATAAAGCTTTAAATGCCACCGATTTAATTTGACGTTTATTGAAAATAGCATTAAGATAAAAATTGTTTTCTCCAAATCGGTTAGGAATTAAGAAATGAAGTTTTTTTGAGGTTATAAAGGAACGTTTGAAGATGAATCGTATTTTGATATCTGGGGTAGTTTCTAAGAAATCAATCTTGAGAGTTATCTTAAAAATATCACCAATTGACACACGTTTTAGTATTGACTTCAAATTCTCTTTTCTACGTTATGTTAAACTTCATTTAAAACTCATTTTTAGTTTATTGTTATCTTAATCTTGAGTTAACATTCGATTAACGCCAGGTTAAGCATTGATCAGAGATTATGATAACTATATTATGTAAGTTTATTTACAAAATTAATAGTAATTAATTCATTTTCCATATTTTGTTGTTATTTTCCACTACAAAATCACTCCTGATAAAGATTTATTGTTTTTTATTGAACTCTAACCTTGAAATCGGATATCAATGTTAAAGCGTGATCCCATTAAAAGTAGATTATTACAAAAAAAATCATTATTCCTCCGTAAAGGAAAATTTGACTCCGCTTTTTATTTAATATGACGTCAATACATGCATTCTATCGTCGCAAATTCAATGCTTAGTTAATCATCTACTTATCTTAAACGATTTTAACGCAGTATTGATTACTTAAGAAATTTTGTAATTGCAACAAACATTTAATTGATAGTTTAAATTTCCTATAATCATGTTACATGTGATTACTTATTTCACATTTTTTATCCAACGGTTACGATATTTACTCACTTTCGATAAAAACGATACAAAAACAGAAACAAATTTATGCGAATTCAAAAAGCATTTTTGTGTATTTTGAGAAATACATTTGTAGAACTTTTCTATGAAACATTTTTTGTTTGGAAATGCGTAATAAACGCACATGAATAAATTTAAATTTTTAATGTACTATTGTATCGGTTAATTGACCATTGTTAAATATCATTGATCTGCGGTTCTAGTTCGCTTTTACTTTATTTATGCACAAATGAAATTGTAATAATTATAAGCTTAATCGATTTATAGTAATTATATTAAAATCGAAATATTCGGTTATAAAATGATTAAAATGTAATAAATTAATAAAGATTATCAATTATAATCATAAATTATATACCGTGCATAAATATATAGTAACTATGTGTTACTTCTGGTTGATGTCACTTTTCTGTTTTATAAAATTTGTTTTATTTTATTTATACAAATGAGTACCAAGAAAATTTTGAATTTGTTGCTGAATTAGAAAATATTGATGCGAATTTTGAAGTTAATTTTAAAGAATGATTTCTCAAAAACTAATTGGGATATCGAAAAACTGTTTTCGCCATTAAATTTATTAGAAAATTTGCAATAAATACTCCAAAATTGGATTTTTTACTTTTAAACATAACCTAGAAAAGATGTTTTGAACTCAACACTAAAAAAATCCGTTTTTTTAGGTTAATTTTGAAGATTGATTTCTCAAAAACTAAAAGGGATATCAAAGAACTGTTTTCGCCATTAAATTTATTAGAAAATTTGCAATAAATATTCCAAAATTGGATTTTTTACTTTTAAACATAACCTAGAAAAGAAGTTTTGAAGTTAAAACATATTTAAAATTTTATATAAACTAAACTAATCATACTGGAAGCTTATAATTTGGTATAACCTAACTTCAAAAGTTCCTTTATAACCTCAAGAAACTTCATTTCTTAATTCCTAACAGTTTTGGAGAAAACAATTTTTAACTGTAACACCATTTTCAACAAACGTCAAATTAATTGGGTAATATTTAAAATTTTATATAAACTAAAGCAATCATATTGGAAGCTTATAATTTGGTATAACCTAACCTCAAACATTCCTTTATAACCTCAAAAAACTTCATTTTTTAATTCCTAACCGAATTGGAGAAAACAATAATTTTTATCTTTAATGCCGTTTTCAACAAACGCTAAATTAATTCGGTAATATTTAAAATGTTATATAAACTAAACTAATCGTACTGGAAGCTTATAATTTGGTATAACCTAACCTCAAACGTTCCTTTATAACCTCAAAAAACTTCATTTCTTAATTCCTAACAGTTTTGGAGAAAATAATTTTTAACTGTAATACCATTTTCAACAAACGTCAAATTAAATCAGTAATATTTAAAATTTTATATAAACTAAACTAATCATACTGGAAGCTTATAATTTGGTATAACCTAACCTCAAACGATAATTTACAATCTCAAAAAACTTCATTTCTTAATTCCTAACAGTTTTGGAGATAACAATTATTAACTGTAATACTATTTTCAACAAACGTCAAATTAAATCGGTCTTGTTTAAAATGTTATATAAAATAAAGCTATCACACTGGAAGCTTATGATTTGGTATAACCTAACCTCAAAGGTTCCTTTATAACCTCAAAAAACTTCATTTGTTAATTCCTAAAAGTTTTGGAGAAAATAATTTTTAACTGTAATACCATTTTCAACAAACGTCAAATTAAATTGGTCATGTTTAAAATGTTATATAAAATAAAGCTATCATACTGGAAGCTTATGATTTGGTATAACCTAACCTCAAAGGTTCTTTTATAACGTCAAGAAACTTCATTTCTTAATTCCTAACAGTTTTGGAAAAAACAATTTTTAACTTTAATACTATTTTCAACAAACGTCAAATTAATCGGTCATGTTTAAAATGTTATATAAAATAAAGCTATCATACTGGAAGCTTATAATTTGGTATAACCTAACCTCAAAGGTTTCTTTATAACCTCAAAAAACTTCATTGCTTATTTCCTAAAAGTTTTCGAGAAAACAATTTTTATCTTTAATTTCATTTTCAGTTCGTTTCTTGAAAATCTCATAAAGATAAAAATTGTTTTCTCCGATTCGCTTATGAATTAAGAAATGAAGCTTTTTGAGGTTATAAAGAAACGTTTGAGGTTGGAGCAAGGTCTATAGAACGTAAGGTTACCCAATACCGATTCTCCTCCTCTGAGAGGCAAGGTGGGTCAGTGACGTAGCTGGTTCTATGAACAACACAACACGATGCGAGGTTTAAATATTTTATATAGACTGT